TCCAGTGAATGCCAACAAAAATGATACGGTAATACGGCTCAGTCGCTGCTAATTCTATCCGTTTTTACTTTCTGTCCTGGGAGAATGAGAGAACCAAAAATGAATATAAAGAGTATCAGGCCTTGTCTTTTTCTTGTCTGGTGCGTGCACAAGGGCTGGATATAGTAGACAAAAGGGGTGATATAAAAATTATGCACGTGCACGCAGAGTATTAAACAAGAATAAAGATATAAGAATGATAAAGAGAAGAGAAGAACAAGAGGCACAGACAAAAAGCGATATGGCCTCCTCTTCCTTTCAAAAAAGGAGCTGGGCAGAAACGGAATAATGTACAAGAAGTAAGAAAATTTAAAAATAAAGGTTGCTGCGCGTAAACAGCCGTTTGCAATGAGAGGATAGAACCCAATGTGCAAATATACAAGTATTCAAGCACAACACGCCTACTTGATAACAGAATATAATAAAAGAAAATAGCGTCAAAATGGAAGTTGAAGGAAAAAGAGCTTGGCGCGTGTGGAGTGTGTAAAAATCGCGAGTTTGTAAAAATTAAAAATTAAATTGCCTTTGCAATTAAAATATCTCCTTGCTGGCTGGTCGCGCACGCTAAGAGGGGCGAACGTTTATTATTTCCTTTTGTTCTGGAAAGTTGTTGCTGACAAGAACAATGGAATTAAGAGCAATAGAAATATATGAGCAAGAAAATTAGCTGCTAGACTATTAAAAACCAAAAAGAGAGAAATAATAATAGACTAGTTAAAAAGATGCAAAAAGAGAAAAGGGCAAAAAGAAGCATAAAAAGCCCGGGCATCAAATAAAAGCGAATCAAGGGGACAGTGTTTTCTGTTCTGCCCCATTTCCCCTTTTGAACTTTACTTTTTATGACTGGGGGCGGCCATATTATGCGTGAATGAGTTAAAATGCGTTTGGTGGTGGTGGTATGTACCCCGGCCCTTCCCGCTGCCACTGCTGCCGCTACCTCTTTTTCCATCCAAAGCAACAACTGTAATCACCATTAGAGCTAGCTGGTTCCATCGAATGGCTAACACAAAGAAAAAGAAATAGCAAAGGGCGCTACTGCGCTGGTTCCGGCTTTTGTGTGCTCCAATTACATGCTCTGTTCAGCTATTGTATTCAACCCACTCTTTATTATTACATAAAAACAATACCTTATTTCTCGGAAATTTTTAGAAGCAACCGCATATGAATCATGTTGTATGTGCATATGAAAACTCTGTCAAATAACCAAACCGGCTATAGGGTCTATTCAGCTCCAGCTCTATAAATAGATATAAAACAGTGGCCATTCCATTACATCTGGTGCTTCTTCTCTTCGGTCTTTGCAAATTCAAAAAGCCGTGCAGTTGCGGTTTGTACGCTAGCATGATGGTGGATCTGAAGCCAGTGGAGTTCGTACAAGCAAGTGGCAAACGGATTGCACATGTCCGGATCATCCAAATCCTTCAAGTACAATCCACTTCCTGCTTGCTCCTCTGACGAGAAAAGTCGATCAAGCGTTGGGTATTTGATAAGCAGCCTATGGATAAACTCGACCGCCTTCTTGGCCGTCTTTGGTGGCCAGTAGAGCGCACACTCTACAATTCGCTTGCAAAAGGCTGCCACCCGTGTAACTGAAGACACCTTGGTTCGGCCAAGGAACATCATTTCCAGACACTCAAACAGGATATCAGATTCGCTGCGCACTGTCTCTTCCCACATTGCCTCGTTTAGCTGCAAGTCGTTGTTTACAACATCATTTCTTGCTGCTTGGCTCTGTCCTATGCGCTCAGCGTTTGCAGCTGCAATCTCTGCCGGCATCATGTAGACTGTGTAGCGGGTACCATCAGAGAGTGCTGACATACGCGTGGCCTCGATCTGTGGGTTTGCTGAAAGAGGAGGCAGTAGTGCGTAAAGCTGGTAGAAAAAGTCCTTAAGATCCAGGTTTAGCGCCTCACCTTGGCCAGTAAGGATGTGCAAGGCAGTGAGAATGCAAAGAAGCGACGTCCGCAGACTGACACGCGAAGATACTAAATCATTGGCTTCGTCAACGCCCTCCAATTCAACATCCTCAGCGCCAATGCCAACGCCGTGCTGACCGCGCATAATCTTCTTGAGCAGATGGAACAGATCAACAAAGAACTCCACACTGATTAGATGCGCATATTTGGCCAGCCCTTCGAGAACTGCTGGTAGCAGCCCACCAATATTATCCTTTTGCTTTAAAATTCTGAAATATGTGATAAATACTTGCTTGAGTGTCTCGCCATACCATTTCTCTCGCTCTTCGCGCGTCACCTCAGCATCTGCCTCGCGCAAAGACTTGTCCACTTCCTGCTGTACCTTGCGTGCTTTGACTTGCTTTTTTGATTCATGCAGCGCTCTCTTCGCTTCTCTAAGAGCGGCCCCGCCCTTTTTGCGCTTCAACAACTTGCGCTTTTCTCTAAGCTGCTCTTTGCGCCGCTGTTCATCCTCTGCACGCTTGCGATCCTCTGGATTCTCGCGAAGCTCCTCACGCAGCCGCAGATGGAGCCAAGGCCGCAGGGCGCTTGGATCGACGCGATACGATAGCCGTTTTATGCGCTTCGAAGCTAAAATAACTGCATTCTGGGAATATTCGCCTGATACATCGTTTCGGAACAAGCGCAGTATTGCCAGGCGCGCAATCTGTGCCATTGGGGTGAAAGGCGCAAAACTGATGCGCGACGAAGGCTGCACATAGATGTCAACCAGAGCAGCAAGCACATCTTTGCGAAAGTTGAAATGCGGGTGAGCGTTTGCTAGCTCGCCCAGTGCACGCGCTGCAACAATGCCTGTTTCTATGTCAGCACTCTCGTCTCCAAATATCTTCATTGCCCGCTTTGTTGCAGCGAACAATTGCTTGAGATATAAACTGTAGTTTTTGACAAGCCCTTCTTCAAACATGCGCTGCTGTCGCACCTCCTTAGTTACTTTCATTTGCTTCTCCTTTTCCGTCAATTCACGAATACGGTAGTCAGGCAAAACATCACGAAAAACTGCTAGCTGGGTAAGAATCCCTAATTGTTTAACTTTGGGATCTTTGTCTTCGGTAATTACGTGAAGGAGCTTGAATCCCTTAGATCCGCCTTCAGGACTCTGCATGATAATGTTGGCTATGGCTGCTAGTCGGTTTTGCTGAGCAATAATATACTGCTTGCGCGTCATTTGGTCCCGATCAGGTGTCTCTGTATAGTCAACCCTACTTGTTTGACCATCATTGCTTTCGCTGAATTGTGAAAAAGATGTTTTATCATGATTGGATTCGGAAGTTGACTCAGCATCCGAATCGCTACCACTGACCGACTGGGAATCATCCATTGATACATCATCATAGCCATTTCCATCTTGAATGTCTTGAGGATCCTTTTCCTCGTTCTCATCATCGGAGCTCTCTGCCATAATGAGGCGACCATCAGACATCTTTATCGGAAGCCTGTTGGATACTTTAATCTTCTTTTCAGCCTGCTCAAAAGCACGTGCGTGTTGCTCATATTCCATTTCGCCTCCAAGAATAGCCTTACGCTTTTGAGCACGGCGCATTTTGCTGTTGCGATACTCGTATTCGTCAGCATCACTTTCCTGTATCTCATGATCTGATTCATCCAAGCTCTCTACTTCGTCATCATGCTCGCTACCATTTTCATCCTCCTCTGAACAAGAATCTGAACCTGATAGAATAAAGTCAAAAACGCTGTCCTCCTCGGAGCCGCTAATCTTGTCTGACTGCTCATCAGTATCGGTGTTGCTTTCCTCGTCGCTGTGAATTTCCAGATCTGAGTCGTCAGCGTCAGAGATCATATCATCGTTGTCAGTTTCTGAAAGTTCTGCGGGTGCAGGCACCTTCGATTTGGTGTTGTCGACTAGTCTCTTGGGCTTGGCTTCCTTGGTGATAGCAGTAAGCTTCTCTGGGTTTATGCTGCTCAAAAAACTGATGTTCTTTGCATTTTCTCGAATAAAATCGGCATCTTCATCGTCAAAATCCTCGCTACCGTCTGAGTCGGGCTTTGCATCAAGTTCGTGCTCATTTGGTTTATTAGCAGTCTGTCGCTTAGAGCCGTTAGTGTGTGGCTTTTTTGCGTGTGCTTTTGCTTTAGAGCTTTTGGTTTTGGCCGAATTCTTAGCCGCTGCCTTTGTTTTTGCCTTGAAGCTTGGCTTGGTTGCCTTTTTCCCTGCCATTAGGATCGTCTTTGCAAAAGAAGTAAAAAAAGTAAAAAAACAAAGTTCACACTAATTGTTTTATACTCTAGCAACGCACAATAAAATAAAACTAGAGAGGTAGACAAAAGTAAAAAAAAGGATATGGCAGATGTTTTCTATTGTATCGCTATTTTGCATGTTTTCATTGAAGAAACCGTCAAAGCTAGAAGAAAAAAACTGAAAAAAAGTTGGGCCGCAAAAATAATCATAATCGCGTGATCTTGTGATCAAAAGGAGCTTAGCCGTAGCCATTTGCTTCGTTTTAAACCGATAATGTGCTTTAAGAAGAGATTTACATCTTATTGTGGAGATAGCAAGAAGATAGTTGGTTTGGTCAGTTTATCAATGATCTGTTTTTATATATATATTGTTGTTTCGCGTAACATCTACACATAGAAATAAAGATATATGTATTTGCTTTGTACTGCTTATTTTATTACAAACATTTGCATAATTCTGAAGATAAAGTGAAAAAGAAGCTTTATACTGCTAGCTTTAAACATAGCAAATATCAAAAAAGCGTTGCTTTATTTCAACTGTAGTAATACAATTGTAAATTACACACTATGTGGTTTCCATGAGTGTTATATTTTAAATTTTTAATGGCAAAGGCATATTTTTACAAAAGTTTTTGGTAGCAAATGGTTCAGATAAAGTAAAATAAAATAGGGAGTAGCAAGTAAAAGGCAGATTTGCTATGAAAAAATTTCTTTTCACAAAGGGGAGGCTTACGAGTGTGTAGATACATAAATTTCATGGACAAAAGCTGTGATTTAGCTTGGAAAATGGCCGGACTGGCGCAATTGGATAGCGCACTAGACTTCTATTGAGCTTTTACGCTTGGAGCTATCTAGGGGTTGCGGGTTCGAGCCCCGCGTCTGGTTTTCATATTTTTTGCACAATCCAACAGGCAATAGCAAAAATCACGTGGATAGAATTATTGAGTTTTTCTCATGGCAATGCGAAAAAGCTGTTTTTTTGTTTGGCGTGTGAGAGAACAAAAACGCGTCGTCGATTGTAAATTTGCTTGATTGTGTTTTATTACTTTTATTCTTCTCTTTGTCTAGATTTTGCTAGAATAAAAAACTTTTTTATTTTTGTTTGCATTTATCTTTTCTTATTTTGCTTCGTTTCATACTAGTACGTCGTAGAAGAGGTAATATGGACCAACTCAACACACGTCTTGACCAGAGTCTTGAGCAAATCATAAAAGAGACTAGGCAGCAGCGGAGGAAAAACCAGACAGCTTTGGCTAAGAAGAAGACCGCAGCAGCTTTGAAAAAGACACAGACAGGGACAATGGCTGCATCCGCCACCGGAGCAAAGAAGCCAAACGTAAGTAGTAGCATCTATGTTATATCTGCAATGTATTTTTTAGTTTATTGAATCCTATTTACAATTGTATGTAATTTTAGCTAATAATTTAACCATTTCTTTATTTTACACAAATAGCGGCGTGCAAAGAACAAGAGCGGCAAAGCAGTTAAAGCAGCAACAGCAAAAGACTCAGAGTCTGCAGCAATTGCGAGCACTAAAGGGGCAATTGCTGCGCGGCTGGGCGCAGGGGCAGCCGCAACCAAGGTTATTGGAAAGGGTAGGCTGGCAGGCAGAGTTGGAAAGTCCCAAAAGGTGCCCAAGGCTGAGGCGAATGGCCGCTTGGCAGGAATGGCAGATAGAAAGAAGGGCGTGGAGCTAAAGAAAAAACTGGCAAAGACAGGGCAGCAGAATGTCAAGATCAGCATCAAGGGCGAGGCAGGACCAGCAACTATTTTCATCTCCAACCTGGATACCGAGGCGTCGGCAGAGGACGTTAAGTCATGCTTCAAGCAGTTCGGAACTGTTAAGAACTGTACACTGCTTTATGATCACAACGGCCGGGCATCAGGTCACGCTGAGATTACTTATGCGGCAAAGGCAGCAGCCGAGGAGGCAGTTGCAAAGCTTAACAACGCGCTGGCAGATGGTCGTACCTTGACTGTGCGTCTCGTGTCGGCATCCAAGAAGGGGGCACCACAAACAGCGTCATTTGCCAACAACTCTCCAGCCTCGTCGTTGCACAAGAAGAACCGCAAATACAACAAGAGATCTACTAGCGGAAGAATGGACATTGACTAGCAGATATCGCTGCTTGTTGCTTTTACCAGATGTCAATTTTATTTCGCATAAGCGACTGCTGCTGTTCTTCTTTCTTTTCAACACTATACGCACATGTCACTGAGCCCATAGCGGATCCTCTATCTCTCATTTCCTCTTATCCACTTTCTGGCTCTTAGTATTTTGTGATCCTTATTATTTTTGTCCTTTTGTTTCTTGGAACCCTTTTTATGCACAAAATAAATCAACTTTATATTTTTTAAATCATTGCGTTTTTTCGTAATATTGTAGATGGATTTGATGAATATTGGTTTGTTCGGAAATCAACAGAGATTGCTTAGCAAAAATCTGCCTAAGCAACATGTTGCTGCCATGCAAACGAAGAAATCATTTGCTTTCTTTCGCTAACTCTGTCCAGAATCCGATAGCGATGTAAGCGCGCATACCGGTCCTTACTTAGCAGCGTTAAGAGTAAGAAAAAGAAGGTCGCAGAACAAAACATTCAACGGCCTTTTTCTTCTTACACTTTCCCAATTTAAGTTCTATTCTGATGCAGGCCACAAATGCCTGATTTTTTTTGCAAGTCGCCCAGTCTTTTGATGCACATCAATTGTATGCCAAACGCACGTGCCTGTATTGCAAGCTAAAAATGGTGATGGTATATATTTCTCTTTATACGGTTTATACATTTTGTTTCTCTTTCCAGTGGATTTCATTTTCCTCTTTCTATTATAATTACTTGTCATGGCGCCAGCAAAGGTTGATTGCCATTTTTTTATGACCAGTTCTTGTCGTAATGGCGATGCTTGCCCATTCCGACATAGCGCAGGTGCTCGAGAGTCGCAGCAGGTCTGTCCAGCCTTTGTGCAGTCTGGCGAATGCCCCGAGGAGGATTGCGGAATGAAACATGTGGATAAAGTTGCAGCTCGGACAACAACAAAGCCTCCAGGCGAAGTGCCCTGTAGGAACGAGGAAAACGGCGGTGTGTGTACTCGGCCAAACTGCATTTTTAAACATACAAAGCCGCGTGGCGGAACACAAAACACTGCGCAAATTTTAGCTGAGCAACCGCCTGTTAGACCTGCGTTTCGTCCATCTTGGAATGCAGTATCAGCAGCAAACAATGCTCTGAATGCAGGCGCAAAGGTATTTATGCCAAAGGCGAAGCAACAAAGCAAACCACTCGTACAACAGCAGCCGCAACAGTCTAAGGGCTCGACAGCATTCAAACCATTTGGAAACATGGAATGGACACCTTCTGCATCAAAGGATTCAAATACGGGCAAAAGCTCTTCCACACAGGCCGCAAATAGTGCGTGGTCTAAAACAAACTGGTCTCAGGACAACCAACACCCGCGACTGCAGCTACGACCGCAGCACCCGCATACAAATAAAAGTGCATTCTCGCACGGGATTTTTGCAGTCTCTGCTGATGAGTCATCCGATGGCATGGATATCGACACCACACCAGGCAGCAAAACTCCGCGCAAAGATTCTGCAACTGGGACTCCTTTTATTCAGCAGACTATTAATCAGGAGGCAGCAGAATTAGCTCCCATACCAACCATATATGACATATTGGGGATATCTGAAGATAAGCAAAGCCCAGTACCTTCGAAATATGGAAAACACGGTCGTAAAGCAAAGCAATGTGTTAATACCAGTCAATATAGCGATATCGCTGCCGAACCTGAAAAGTCTGTAAACACGAGTTCAGTTAGCAGCAGAGCTATTGACGATATGCAGTATATGGACATGCAACTAAATAACCTAGAGCCTGCCACACACAACTATAGCAATACGATAACGGCCCGATCACAGAGTAACTCTCCTGCTTCACGTGTATGCTATGCGTCCGATTTTGTTATGGACACTGCTGACGAAAAGACATCCGACTCAAAGCCTAGTTATAGTGTCAATCCCTCAACGAGCGCTCACGTAGATGGCGCTGTCACAGAGTCGCTTGATATTGAGGATATAACGGGCAACAACATAAAAAGATCATTGTCGTCAGCTGAGATTATAAAACCAACACATATTGTGACACCAAGTGCTGAAGCTGAGCACAAGAGCGATCTGGATCAATCCAAGAAACCAACAACCCCTTTGCTATCAGAAGCATTGGAACCCGAGCAGGAGCCGCTGATACAAATAATACCACAGCCTGAAAATAAACGCGATGCTTCAAAGAAGGCAACCAAACCGAAAGCTAAAGCCACTGCTAAAGATGCAAGCAAAGAGCGAGAACTGCCTAAAGTTCTTTCTTTCCAAGAAATCATGGAGCGCAAACGCCGCAAAAGAGCAGAGTCTGAAGCAGCAGCTTCTGCTACAGCTACAAATGCAACCACAGCTACAACTACAGCTACGGCTACAACAGCATCAAGGGATAAGCAGACTGCTGGCTTCACAATGTTATCTAGCCCAGCAACATCGGAAACAAATAAACGACGCGTTATAATCGACGAAGATGATATAGAAAGTGACACTTCAGACGGTAAACGAATAAAACCAACATCTAGAGCAGCGGCGCCTCTGCAAAATAAAGAGCAGCTGCATGATGGCCAAACAAACAGAGCCCAATCAACAACAGCTTCAGTGGGAACCCCATCAAAGATCAAAAACTATGTGGCCATGTTTGAAAAGGAACTTGAAGACCTATCGCTAGACCTAAGCGGCCCTTTGGAAAATACACCATCAACAGACAAGATTTCTAGAGCAAACATCAGCGAAACATATATCGATACAGACATACAACAATTACTCGACAACTAACTTTCCGCTCATTCATTATTGTATATTTTTTGTTTTATTTTTCTATTTGAATATATCACACTCGGAGATTGAAAAAAGTATGAGAAAAAGTATATATCCTGACAGCTAAAACCATTAAAACTCGCATACACGGCTGCACTGTCCGGCCGCCCAAATACTCTGGCGAGTAGCACCATTTCTGGATGAAGGCGTAACTCTGACCTGGCTGACTGGATCAACATCAAAAGCGATAAGATCCTCAACAACTTCTGCGCTAGCGACCTTGCCTCCAGCAGCCACGTTTAGAGATACGATAAATAATTGTCCATCCTCCGTGCCAGCACATAGAAGTGTGTCTCCAGTGCTTGTGCGCACAAGATGGACAGCCGATATAGCTGATTGGTTGCGCCTGAATGAGTACATAGGCGCTACAGGCTCTGCTAACGACCAAACACTAATCGTGCCATCAGAAATCCCGGTAAATAGAATCTCGTTGACAGCATCGTAGGCAACGGCGCGAACCGGAAGACCACCCAAGGATCCAAACTCGGCTATCTTTTCTTTTGAAAGCAGGTCAAAAAGCAGTGCTCTTCCATCCTCGCAAGCAACAGCCAAAACTTTGCCATCGGTTTCAAACTCGGTGTCATGCAGCTGCTGGGTGGTGTCTACGTTATTGCCATCGTGGCAACTGCGAACAACCAGATCAATTTTATTGATAGGGTGCTTGGATATGTCAAATGTGTGCACGACTGAGGCTGATCCGCAGTGCCATAGACGGACAGTGCCGTCTTTTGCAGCAGAAAGAACGTTCTTGCCTACGCCAACAATTGCAACATCTGTAATGGCTGCTCTGTGCCCAATAAGCGTAACTGGATTGGTGCCATCACTAGCAGACCAGATCTTTAGTCGCATATCAGTTGCGCCGCTTAGAATAACCTGGCCAGATGGGAAGAACTGGCAGCATGTAACATCGCCAAAATGGCCGTTGAGTTGTACCCGATGTACCCCGCTTCCTGTATCATACACGTCCATTGCCCCG